ATTACATCATGTTGCCTCTCTTTACATCTTTATTTTTTTTCTTTTCTTTTCTTTTCTTTTTTTGCTAGGCAATGGGGTTAAGTGACTTGCCCAGCGTCACACAGCTAGTAAGTGTTATGTGTCTGAAGCGGGATTTGAACTCAGGTCCTCCTGAATCCAGGGCCAGTGCTCTATCCACTATGCCACCTAGCTGCCCCTCTCTTTAAATCTTTAAAGTCAAATATATATTTTATTCAAAAAAACCAAACACAAAGTAGAATATAAAAAGAAAATCTAAGGTTATTTACTCCACTGATGTACTAAAGGAAATAATATAGAAGTATGTTTTAGAGTAGAAAAAAATCTATCTCAACAATATCTTAAAATAAAAGCACAGAATATTAGAGTTGGAAGGGGCCCTAGGCATCACCTCCTTCTACCCTATCTCAAACTGAGAAACTGGGAACTAGGATAATGAAGTGATTTGCCTAAAGTAATAAAGCTGCCATGTTCCAGAGCCCAAACTCAGGTCTTCTGAATCCCAGTCCTAGTGTTCTTCCCTTACACCATGGGGCTTTTCTAGGTTTTAGTTCTTGTAGAAGGATATCATGAAATGTTATTAATTATAATTGAAATTAATATAAAAATTTAAGTTTACTAAGTATTAAACTTACAACTATTCTATGAAGTAGGTGATATTAATATTACTATTATGAGTTTATAAATGAGGAAATAAAGTCAGAAGCTGAATGACTTATTCAACTAATTGATATCAGAAGAGAACTTGAATCCAAGGCCAATATTTTTTTTTCTTTTCTAACAAGTTATCATCACACTTAAATGTTTAAATTTGAATCATAAAAAGTAACATAAAGACTCAAAATAGTTTTATCAAAATGTAATAATGAATATTGCTCAAATGAGCCTTTTCTCTTTTTATAACTGCCAACGAATTTTTTTTTTGAGGCAATTGGGGTTAAGTAACTTGCCCAGGGTCACACAGCTAGCAAGTGTCAAGTGTTTGGTCTGAGGCCAGATTTGAACTCAGGTCCTCCTGACTTCAGGAACAGCGCTCTATCCACTGTGCCACCTGGCTGCACCCTGACTAAGAATTATTAACCAAATACATGACAATGGAAACTGATGGGAAAGGAATCCCTAGTAATAGGGTAACTATCTTATCATTATTACATATATAACACTGGCACAGGATACTTTTTGTTTTGTTTTGTTTTGTTTATATGAGGCAATTGGGGTTAAGTGACTTGCCAGAGTCACACAGCTACTGAGTGTTATGTGTCTGAGGTCACATTTGAACTCAGGTCCTCCAGACTCCAAGGCTGGCACTCTATCCACTGTGCCACCTAGCTGACCCCACAGGATACTTTTTACTGAGTAGAAAGCCATACAAGAATGAGGATTCTTGACTCATAATGTTTCAGAGCAATTAAATAAAAGCAACAGTCACCATCCACTGTAAATCATTCATCTCAGCTGTTCACTGTATATCATGGAACCCAATTCCACTTTCTGCCTCATCACCTCTCTCTGAGACTGCTGCAATACTCTCCTGATTGGTCTTTTCCTTTCAGCCTCTCCTCTCTTCAATCTATCCCCCTTTCCAAAGCACAAGTCTGATCCTGAATCTTGTTTCCCTCTTGCCCCTCAGATACAATACAAATTCCTCATATTGCCATATAAAACACTTTACAATCTTGCCCCAGCCTACCTCTCCAGACTTTTTGTACATTTCTCCCCCCTTCACTGACACTATATTCCAAATAAATAGTTCCATTTGCTATTCTCCAAACTCAATATTCCTTTTTCTGCCTCCACAACTTTGTCCTATTCCCTACTTAGAACTGTCTCCCTCTGCAAATTGTCTTGGATTTTCTTCTCTGAGCACTATTCCCTGGTAGAATGTAGATTCCTTGAGGGGGAGGATGGATTATCTTTGCATTGTCAGAGATTAATCTGTTGTTTAGTTGTTTTTCAGTCGTGTCTAACCCTTTGTGACCCCATTTGGAATTTTCTTGGCAAAGATACTGAAGTTTGCCATTTACTTCTCCAGCTCATTTTGAGGATAAGGAAACTGAGGCAAACAGGGTTAAATGACTTGCCTAGGATCACATGGCTAGGAAGTGTCTGAGATTGGACTGAACTCAGGAAAATGAGTCTTTCTGACTGGCACGCTATTCACTGAGCCACCTAGCTGCCCAACCAGAGATTAATACAGTTTCTAAAACATAATGAGGCACACAAAAAAATTAAACTGTTGCCACATTTCCCACCTCTGTAAGTGGTTTTCTACTCTATTTGGAAAAGGTAGTAATTGGTCACTGTCTGCAAAGTTCATTAGTGTCTGGTTTACCCTATCCTTCTAAACATAAACTATTAAAGGAGATGTAAAATCAGATTGGGCCTGTCTATGACATGCAAGATCCCCCAAAGGGAGGCTATTCATTGTGTGCTTTCACTTCTTGTCTTTTTGGAACATTTACAATCTATGACACAAAGGTTGATATCATGCCAATAGCAATGATTATTTGGGTAGGTTTCTGCCTTCTATGCAAGGCTGTTCATTTTGCCCTTTATGCTGAGCAGTCCTATTTATCCTGTCCCAATTCTCTGATATCTTCTTGTCTTTTCATGGTGTTTAAAAACTAATTGCCAGTGGTGGAGTGAATTCATTAGCTAATTCTCTTAAGGCTCTGAGATCCACATTAGGCAGACTTGGAGATTTGTGTATATCTCCATCTTTCCAAGTGTTCCAGCCTCTTGCTTTTCAGTCAATAGCCATATTGACAATGCCTTAATTACTTTTGGGGTGCACATACCTCTTCTCATTTTCTTTGTGTTCTTGGGGAGGAACAATTTACCCATCAGATCAGTGGTTCAGTCATTTGGAGTCATTTCTCTTTTCTCTGTGAACTACAGCTCTCTGGGATTTATTTTTCCCTTTAGACAGAGGATAAATTATAATTATATAAATTGATCCCTTTGAAAAAAGTAAATTGGAAAAGCCAAAGATGGTGAAATTGAATATCCAGGTTTGTTGTAGTAATAATTCAAAGGTAAAAATGACCTGCATAGTTGGCTGGCACAAAGTTTTCATATTTTATACTAGGAACTTGAGAAATATAACAGGGTTATTTCGGGGAAAAAATCACTTTGTAACTAAAATTACATATATATAGTGTTCAGCAAACTTGTAAGTTCAGCAAACTTGTAAGTTCAACAGACACTTCTGGATTAGCCTCAGTGTATAAGACCAAGGAAGAATCATCCTTAAAATATAAATAGCAAAACCATTGGCTCTGAATTTTCAAGTAATATTAGCCTTTTTTTTAAACAAGTTATCTAAGTCTAAGCATTTAGGTATTTAGCCATCTTTCTGTTTCTCAGTTTTATCAAGATTTTGGCCTTTAAGCTTCTTACTTTCTTTCTTCTCCCTCCACAGGGATTGTAAATTTTAATGTCTGAAACTTTTTTTCTCTTGTTTTAATTTTTTTTTCTCTTAAAGACCAGTCTTATCCCCAAATCACTCTGGTCCCAGACCAAGGCCTACTTGGTCACTGCATGGGCCTGATTGGCTTAGAATGAATGCAAATAAAAATCATTTCTGTTTCCACCAGAAACCCAGAGGGTCTTCCCCTCCCAAATCTATTTTTTTTTCAAAGAGGCCATTCTTTGCCTCATTTTTATTAAGCCTTAATCACTGAATGAGCACTGCCTCAGTCAAACTGAGTCCTCTTAAAGACCTTAGCTCGAAAAGACCAAAGGCCCCCACTGCATCCTGGGACATCTCTAGTAGTCCTGATCCATATCTTGCCACTAGACCCAGCTGGTTCTAGAGGAAAAAATGAGTCTGGTGACTTTGCACAGCCCTCCCTCACTTAAATCCAATTTTCCTGCAAGTCATGGCATCACCTTCGTGATGTCATAGTCCTCTTCTAGAACAAAGGACAAACAGAAACCTTTATCAAGGTTAGAATCTATGTGAAGTAATTTAAGGTCTCCCCCCCATCTATATTCATTTGTGAATTATATACTCATCTTTATAATGTTCCCTACCCAGTACTATTTTGAAACAAAATAATTAGGCACTGGACAGGTTATTAAGAGAACTATAGTTTTGTTGTTTGTTTTGTTTTGTTTTTCTATGAGGCAGCTTTTAGAACTTATAACTCAACCATCTAGCAACAGTCATTTTGGGTTGATCCTGTCTTAAGAAGCAACATAGAATCACTCAGTGTTTTTCCAACTGTCATCAGTCTGAGACCATGAGAGGAGTGGGCTTTCCATCTATATATAGTGAATAAAACCATATATAGCCAATTTAATGTTTAAAAACAGAATTTGGACTGATTTTTCTTTAAGTGAATTTGAACAGATGGACCAAGAAATAGCATGGTACAAGGAAAGAACATAAGATTTGGAATCAGAAGACCTGGATTCATATCCTTCTTCTCTATTACTACTTGTGTGACCTTTTGCAAGATACTTAACCTCTGTAGGCCCTAGTGTTTTTATCTGTAAAATGAGGAGGCTGGGCTCAATAGCCTCCGAAATCCCTTTTGGCTTTAAGCTATGATCTTATGATCCTATAAACTATTCAATGTATCTATACAAGAAAGGCTAGATAGGAATAATGTATCAAAATATGTATATATTACATACAAATACAATATATGCTATATGCATTGTTCTCACTTTCTCTCTAATTCTTTTCTTTCTTATCCCTATCATTGGTGATCAGTATTTCTTCATATTTTCTGGCCAAAAGTTGTCGAACAGGAAAAAGAAATTCCTTACCACTCAGATTTATTAAGGTCATATTCATGTTGCATAAACTTTTTGCGGGGAAACAGATTAGGAAATAGTATTAGTGACCTACCGAGATCCTTAAAATTATTTGCTGGAATTTTTGGAACTAGGTTTATATCATTACTTTTATGAAATCTGCTTTCAAATGACAGACAGCAATAAGAAAAAGATAAATTTGGGCAGATTGGACTTACAATTGATCTGATGTTATTTTCTTTTGCCAACTTCAGGGAAGACTTATAGCAATTTGCAAGGTCTTCTTTATGGGAATCACTGATGTGACCCCTGGCTATGGGTCCCACAGTGTGGATGACATCTGTGAATATAAAAGTAAAAAAAAAAATTATTACACATAATCTGTCAGGTAGATTTTTTTTCCTTAAGCAATTTTTTTTTCTTGATGTCTAGAAACAAGCAAAGTAGGAACTATAAAAGATGACCAGGTTTCCATTGTAAGATTTTTGATAGCAAACTCTCCCATGTAATTCCCTACGTAGCTGATAATTGTGAAAAGGAATTTACCATTACTAAAATGTTTCACAGCTATTGGTCAGACCCAAGTGGTCATAAGAGGTACATAATTGGCACCCTAGCAAAAGACAAATCATCTGTGGGAGATAAACTGAGAAATAATTACCTGCAAAATGAGAATTGTGAACTAACACAGGAAGGCTTCCAAAGCCAGATATCATAACTTTTTTCTTTAAATAAGGCTACAGTTACATTGTATGCAAAATATTTTTATAAACATTTTTGCCAATAGGCAGGAATTTATTTAAATATCCAAAAATTATTTGTGGATAAGAATTGGAATAAAAGAAGTCTTCCAAGATACATAGGAATGGAAAAGTGGTGAGTCAGTTATTTAGTGAGTGGAATAACAGGTTAAATATTGAACTGGAAGTCATGAAATGTTAAAAGAACCAAAAGAAGGCCTTGAGCACAAAAGATGACCCTTAGTGTAGGATCTATGGAGAAACACGAACAAGAACTGCATAGGATAATTTGCAGTCTGTACTAGTGGAAGAAGTACTCATATCAATGAAATAACAGATCTATAAAAGTATTGAAGGGTAATTTCTAACTGTCCTCAAATTAAACAAAAAAGTCCTACTGTGAAGAATGATTTTTATATATTCTAAATGTCCTCTAACTTTCTAATAAGTTGATAAGTTAGATAGGGTATTTCTTGTTCATTCTTTTTAACCAAACTCAATTCAACAAAACTTTGTTGAGGACCTACTATGTGCAAGGAATTGAGCTAGAATCAGGGGCCATAAAGATGAAAAAAAAATTATATGGTTCTTGAACTCAAGGAATATATAACCTAATAAGGCATAAAACATGCACATAAATAAATGTGATACCAATTAGAATATTAAATCCAAAAGAAAGATGAAGAAAACTGTTACGAGAAAATTTATCCCACGTTACAATTTTTAAAAAGCCACTAGCCTCTAATGGCATTTAGAATGGCATAATTCACTTTTTTTTTGAGGATAAATTTAGTCTACGTAGTATTTTTCTAAAAATGATACAACACAAGCAAACACTAAAATTGAGAGAATGGGAAAATTGGACAGTTTTTTTCTAATCTAGGAAATATTAGGAGGTTAACACAAATTGTAAGCCAAGTTACTCAAAACAGCCTTATATCTCTAGCCTTAAAACCCTATCATCAATTAGGATTACTTAATACACTTTATTGATGTTATACAGATGTTTGTCAACAAAACCTAAGCATATTTTGCCCTGTAGAGAAACACAAGAGAGAGTGGCTATTGACACATTCTGTGTAGATTGGTGGTCAAATTCTTGCCTACTGCCTCATTCATGTTTCATACAGAATAATTCATGTTAGGTGAAAAAAAGTTACTAGACAACAACAAAAGAATGAGACTATGCTGGAGGGAAAAAAAAGAACAATCGTAATTCAAATTGGCAAAGGGAATTTGGAAAGGATGAAATTAAACACTAAACTTTTAGCACATTTCAAGAACATGTTGCATACATAGACACTTTGTCTGTTGGCTGTCAAGACTACTGTATGGTATCTCGAGAAAAGCTCCATTCTGTAGTTTCAAAGACTAAATCTGAAACAGGCATTCAAACACTTGTCAGATGACATTGGAGATGACAACTTGTGATCAAAACAGGTAGAAATTTTTCACCAATGACTTCACACAGACGTTATTTTACATATATATATATGTTTGGCAGCAAAATAAAATAAGAACTGTTACAGTTTGGGAGAAAAAGTAAGTAATGTTTCCTATGTTAGGTGACAATCATTAAAAGAGATTAGAGAAACTTGGATCATTTTACCTTAAGATAATGCTAACAATGAACAGGGAATTCACAGATTTAAATTGCAAGAATTGCTCAGTTCCCAGCCTAGTGCTTTTAATGAACAATTTTACATTGGGGCCTAATAGCCCTTAAAATTATTATTATTAACATAGGCAATGTAGTAGAATGAGAGACTGAGGTTTGAGTTCTGGCTCTGATATTTACTGGTTAGGTGAAAATGTTCACACTCTCTAACTCTCAAATTTCCCATCTGTAAAATGGGGACAATCACACTTGTGTTACTTATCCATATACTTATTCACATGCCTGTTGTGAATAAAGTACTTTGTAAACTGTAAAATGCTATAGAAATGTGTTGCTGTTTTTATTTCCACAAAAACTTGGTGAATTGGACTAGTGTTTTCTTTTTCTCTTTTGTTCTATTGTCTATATGTTGACTGGACATAGTTTGTGTAATCATTAAAGCAAACAAACAACAAAAATTATTAAATACAAATAGCCAGATAGATTAGGAAGGAAGCTAGGAACTGTATCAACTCAATATTCTCCAAAAGTTTTTTTCTTTTGTTTTCTTTTGTTTGCCACCTATATTTTGTGGCTGAGGACAGGAGCTGTGTCTTTTACCTTGTCTGATAATTTCTCTAAATGTGTCTATCATTCGGAAACTATTGCCTTATTTCCTTTATTTTATCGATAGAAAAACACAATCACAGTGGTTCTTCTTTACAACATCAATGGACTATGCCAGAATCTACAAAGCATATTAGAGATTTTGTAACCATTATTAGGAAGTGGAGGGGGGGAAAGTTAGTATAAAAATAACTGCTGAGAAATATTTAGATAACAGGCAAAAATATGCTTCTTGCAATTGAATTATTAAAATGGCTCACCTAATTATAATTCAAGCAGAGTTAGGGAAAATTATTCCTTGAAAATACATACATACATACATATATATGTGTGTGTGTGTGTGTATGTATGTATATATGTATATATATGTATGTGTGTATGTATATGTGTATGTATGCATATATACACATATATGTATATATGTGTGTGTGTGTGTATATATATATATATATATAATCCTTCATTTCATGTTATGTGTACAGATGCTCAGAGTAAATCATCAGGGTTTGAATATACTGAATATGTCTCTGAGGTTTTGTTTCCTCATCTGTGAAAAGCAAATAATATCATCTAAACTATCTTCTTCAAAGAGCTGTTGTAAGGATCAAATGCTATATGCATGTAGAGTGCTTTGTAAATCTTAAAGGACTCTATAAAGGTCAGTTGTTATTTTCACATCAAAAACTTGTGTTTTCTTTCTTTGGAATTCATACTTTCAAAGAATTCAGAGCTAAAAAGGACCTTAGGGACAATCTCTTGATGACATATGGTGGTATTGTGGTAGACAGAAAATTGAACTTAGAGTTCTGAAAGACCTGACTTCAAATTGTGCTCCAAACATTTTTTAGCTTGTGACCCTGGGCAACTTACTATGCCTCAGTTACCTCATTTGTAAGACGGGGATGTTAAAGGCTATTGTATCAAATTACGTAATAATACTAAATTGCAAAACTTTTCACAAACCTAAAAATGCTATAAAAAATCAAGTTTTGTTATTTTCTGGTCCAGTTTGTACATTCCAGAGGAAAGATGGCTCAGACAGGCGGGACCAGTTTGACTGGTATCACACAGCTAGCTAATATAATATTGATCCTTCCAGAGACCATGAGACTGACCATGACTTGCTCCAACTCATTTCAGCTCTAAAATTCAATGATTCAGCATCTTTTTCTGTAGAAGTGCAAGTCCTACAAGATGATTTTATTGTTCATTTGTGTCTGACTTTTTGTGACCCCTTTTTGGGGTTTTCTTGGAAAAGATACTGGAGCCATTTGCCATTTCCTTCTCCAGCTCATTTTATACATGAGGAAACTGAGGCAAACAGAGTTAAGTGGCTTGCCCAGGATCACACAGCGAATAAGTGTCTAGGCTGGATTTGAACTCAAATCTTCCTGACTCCAGACCCTGCACTCTATCTACTGTGCCAACTAGCTAGCCTTTAAGATAGTTGCTGTCAACTAAAAATAACTTTGAGAATAACTCAGGGAAGGGTTTCCTGACCAGAATAAGATGTCTGATTTATGGAATGATTCAACTGTTGGAAAATAGATAGCTGTTATCACTTCAGCTCAACTAAATTTGTTTTCCTGTTTTCCATTTTCTAAACAATTCAGCTCGATTGCATTTTAAATGCCTGCATTATTTTCATTCCAATTATATAATTCTCCCCTGAGGTTCTCCCTTGGTGCTTCTTTATGCTGTGGAGACATTCAAAGACTATGCCTTTTCAAGCAATGGTATGTCCCATCAACTGCAGACCTGGAAAACAACTGTGTGTATAATCCTAAAACAAGGATAGTTTGAAGTGGCTTATTCATCACCGGCAGGTTAGAACCCAGATGCTGAGATGTGGTCTCATGCAAAGAGTACTGGAACACTGATTTAGGGAGTGTTCAGTGAGGAATTTATATAAATACAGATTGGCACCTTCACTGCAGCATAGAGTCTTACAGAGTTGTTGAGGTTGCTAAAAGTTTAAGTGACTTTTCAAGGTTCAAACAGCCAATGTGTGGCAAGAGGACTTGGACCAAACTTCTTTTGACTCCGTGGCTGGCTCTCTATACACCAGGCTACAGGCAAACTGATCTATTAACAAAGCACATTATACTCTATGGGGCAGCTAGTTGGTGCAGTGGGCCTGGAGTCAGGAAGGCAAATTCAAATCCAGCCTTAGACATTTACCTATGTGGCCCTGGGCAAGTCACTTACACATTCATACACATGCTTTATACATATTTAAAGTGTATATAACAAATACACGTATACATTATGCCTAAGCATAAGAAGGGAAATACATAGCTAAAAAGCAGTTGGGATGAAAAGAATGTGTGTTCTGAAAGAATTGAAAAACTAACAAAAGTCAATAGTGGGACATGG